TGTGTCGTAAATGAACAGTTGATGAATTACACTTTTCTGAGAATAGAATATTGAAGTGGAGATCGCTAAACTGCAAGCTAACCGGTGTTTTCAGAAAGCAAGCACGTTTATCCCATAGACTGTATAAAAACAGGTTTATCCACAGTGGAGAGAGCGCGTGTGCACATGGTTGCCAGGTTGACAAAGATAAGTAGCACATTTAGCAGATATTTCCGTATTGCGCAAGTGGGAAGCTCTGTTTCGGGGATTACGTCTCTTTATATCAGGCAACCCAGTTGTGTTCCTCTGCGGCCAGATTAAACCTTGTTGTAGCCTATATATGCTCTATTCATTCTTTTTTAGAAACCTCGCACTTTTCTACTCAATTTTAAACGTTGTAAAATTTTAAACAAATTAAGCGCGGTCCACTGCTGCACACGTGCCACAATATCGACACAGGGCCAGCTGTATTGATACTCGTATTGTCAAATCTCTGTGACGATACATCGTCGTATCGATATTTTGAACACAGCACTATTGGTTTACTTGGATCCAGAGTTTGCAAAAGAATTCATGTCACAAAAGACCAGAATTTCCTTACTCAGTACTAGTTTAGTTTAAAAATTATTGAACAATTTAGGCTAAGTATTAATGAAAATATATTAAAACAATGCAGTACCCCGCTGTTCAAATCTTTGCTTTTGGTAAGAAATTAATACTTCTGTTCAGCAAGGGCACATTAAATTGGTCAAAAGTGACAGTAAAGACTCCTATAATGTTACTAAAAAGTTCTATTTCAAATAATTGCAGTTCATTTGAACTTTCTATTCAAGAATCCTAAAAACGTAAGTTTTTACAAAAAATATAAAGCAACTGTTTTCAACATTTATAAGAAACGTTTCTTGAGCACCAAATCAGCATATTAGAATGATTTCTGAAGGATCATGTGAAACTAGGGATGCACCGAATGTTCGGCAACTGAAATTATTCGGCTGAAAATAGCAAAAAAGGCTCTTTTGGCTGAATAAGTGAAAAGACCGAATAAATTGTACCGAACAATGATATGACGCGATCAAATAGCAACCAGCGCAGAGTGAGAGGCGCGCACTCTTTATAATGCAACAAATATGTCAGCAGTGTGGAAGAATTTAAACTGTCGGAGAAAGACGCAAAAATCATTACAAGCACCGACAGCGAGAGACTGTTTAGGACTGCATCGCATGTCTTCGATGAGAAGAGGAAGGGGCGATTGTTGCTGGTTACTGTATGATGATTGAAATCGCGAAATGGCCTTAAACAATTAGTAAATAAACTGCAGAACATTGTTTTTTAATACACGCAGTAATTGCATGTATTCTGACAGCACTGCACAAACTCTCGGTGGATCTGCTTGTTAAAACCAGGATTCAAAGTCCAAAGCGCAAGGAAAATCTGCGCTGAAACAGTGTTACTCGTCAGTTGCTCAGTCACATTTTTATGAATTTTTACAAGGCATGTGACAATGCAGTACGTGCGACGTATTCATAATGAGACTCATTTATAAATCTACTGAGAAAAGAAGCAGGTCTTCCTGCACGTTTCCACCAAAATTAAAGTTGAGAAAAAGCAAGAACTACATCAAAATTCATAAATGTTAGTATTGTAATTTTACTGTTGTTCTGTAAGACAATAATAATGATAATAATAATTACAGCAGCTCAGTTAATACATTTAGTTTAACATTCTCACACAGTGTTCAAATTGGGATCTGTAATATTTTCTAATGTTTTAAAAAAAAAGTCTCTTCTGCTCAGCAAGGCTGCTTTTATTTGTACAGTAAAAAATACATGCCTGATTCTAGTAGGGGGTCTGATGGCCAAAAAAGTATTATTTTACTAACTTATTAATTTTAAGTTAAATTGTGCTTTGTTGGTATAATGTCTGCTAGAATGTTAAAAAATGTAATTTTTAAATTGTTGTTTTGTAATTGATTTTTTTTTGTGAAAAGCAAGACAAACCAGTAAAAAGCACATTTTGGCTATTTAATCTATGCAATGGTGAAATAAATTGACAAAATACATGGGGTAAAAAAAAACCTCGAAAAAACGTATTCGGCCTTCGGCCCAGTGTTTCATTTTGTTCGGTTTCAGCTTCGGCCAAGAATTTTCATTTTGGTGCATCCCTATGTGAAACTGTAAATTCAGCTTTGCCATCACATGAATAAATTAAAATATATTTAAAATGAAATGCATTTCTTTAAATTGTGATAATATTTCACAATATTACTGTTTTTTTTTTTTTCTGTATTTTTGATCAATTAAATGGAACGTTGGTGAGCATAAGAGACTTTTTTCAAAAACTTCATACTGACCCCAGACATTTGAACGGTAGTCTGTGTCTCAATGTAATTAAAAATAAACGATTTAAGAACAAGTCAAAAATATTGATGGTCTTTAAAATTGATACATTTAAAATCATACAAATTTGATGCTGTTGGAGTTTGACTTGGGTTAATTGTGCGAAAGAATGATTGTAGAGAGTTTATTACAGCTTCTGAAGGTATCCAGCCAAAAGCAATGAAAAGTTTTGTCTTCTTTGGTCAATGTTATTATTTGATCAATATTAGCTACATAATAATACATAACAGCATGGCTTGTGTGTTAGGCTTGGGACACACTACATGATTTTCAAATCTTAACCGATTTTAAAACTGGTAGAGACCACAGACCTAAGGAAAGTTTCAACCGTTGTTTAATATTATAATCCTCCGAACACACACACACTACACCATTCGGCCAGACCGCGAGAGCACACACCTGCCGATTCTAATATCATTTTCACAGTGAGACAAAATCTCATGGAGACTTGCGAAATCAAATGTGAAAAACAAATGGAGGATGATTGACATTGTCAGCTGGTTCTCCTGGCATGAGTTTTGTTTTATGGGAAGAAAAACAAAGGAGTAAAAAAAGAATATGAGTGATCTTCTTTCTCAATACTCCTCTCTCGTAGCATGATTGTGGCTGCCAAGTTATATAAGCTATAGAAGCATGCAACATCCGGTTGGTGAATCTTGCTCGCTCTCATTGGCTATTTGCAGGTATTACGTCAGAGGCACCCCTCAAGAGTCAAAAATATAAATCATGTTTGATATTTTTGATTTATGAGCAGTAAAATTGTAATTACACCACACACTTGAAGATTTTTTGGGCAACAAGTCATTTGCGACAAGCCTTGAATTGGGCCACACCTCCCCGTTCACTTGGGTGTGCAAATCGGACCCAAAATCAGGCTTAAAATCTTCAAGTGTGTGGCCAGCCTTAGGCTGCATTTCAACTGTGAGGCTTAATGCACAGATCTTTGATTTTAACATAAATAAAATATTCAGGTTGCCCTGCCTGTTTACAGTGCACTTAGTCCAAACTGACTGTGCTTACATGAATATCTTGCCAAGACTTGCCTTTTGACCAGGAAGTGCATTTGACCACTTACATGTGCAGTCGCATCACTACTGGGTACAAGCTCTCTTCATGGAGCATGAGCAGCTTCCTTTCTATGCTAGTTTCGACATGGTACATTTGACATCACTAGTTTGCAACAACATGACCGTGCTGTAGTTCATGATGGGTGGTTTAATGCTCTCTTTCCAACTCTCAGCTGAATCACTAATATTGCCACAGCCCGTCTTCTTTATAAAAGCATTATTACTGAATGATTACTGTCTGAGAGGCTCATAGCTCCAGGCATAAGACCCCTGAAGTCTTGAGTTATTCTTTTAGTAAGCACTGTTCTTGTCATATTCCCACTGAAAATGACATTCAGCAAACTGCTGTACTGAAGCACTGCGGTATCTTCGCTTAACGAAAACATGTTGTATCTATACAGGCACATGTTACCGTGTTTTCGTTTTTAAAATAAACTGGCAGCTTTCATTCCTCATACCAAGCTGCTGTTGTCATGTGAAGTTTTTCTGGAAAGAGGCTGAAGAGAGAGCAGCAGTAATGCACACTAGTCTGAAGTGTTTGTGTGCCCAGGCAGGCATGTCGACACTGGAGGGAAGGATGGTTAATTAGGGCAAGTGAGAGACTGCTTTTGTCTCCCTGAGGAGCTTTTGCTTCATGCTTCTGAAGTCATGAATAGCGAAATGAAGGAAGAGGCTGATTAAATTAAGAAAGCGGAAACGGGTCGTGGTGCAGCAAATTCCATTTACCTTTCCAAGGTGCTTGCTTATGGCAGGTATTGGTGTTTTTTTTTTTTAAATCATTTTAATGAATGATGTTGTAAAGATGAACTGTTCAATGGAAAAGAGCCTCATGAAAATTCTTCATAGTTTAAAATGCTGTCATACAGGTTTGGAATGACATGAGGGTGAATTAAATAAAAAAGGTGTAATTTTTGGGTCAACTATTGCTTTAAATTACTTGTTTGTCTTAAATGTCATTAGGAGCTTGAGAGGTTTTTATGGTCTTGGGTCACTTATTGCTGCAACTTTTACCATTTGAGATCTGACTCATGGTAATATCTACCAAACTTTATGCAAAAATGTAGGCTGTTTTGTTTTGTGCTCGTAAAGTTTATTTGCATTGGCCCTGAGGGTTTTTTTTTTTTTTTTACCACAGGCATATGAGCGCTCTGAGAGTGAGGAAGTGACTGTTATTGCTAAACTCGTGAAGAAGATTCTCATCATTATTTCCAGACCAGCAAGACTACTGGAATGTCTGGTAAAAACATTGCGATTCTGTATTAAGAAGAAATTATATTTATCACATTTAACTTCAGTGGGATACAGCTTTAATAATGTCTGCTTACTGGATACTGATAAGACAAATTCAAATTTGAAGAAGTTAATTGCAAAATGAATGACTGAATAAATAAATAAATAAATATTCTCACTTTCTATTAATAAATATTACTATATAATATGAATAAATATTTAGTATTTTGCAATTTACCTTTCTTTCTTTTCTTTTTTTTAAATAAAAATCCCCCACATAAAATCTCAGCAGAATGGTGAGGGTTTAAATTTAATTTATTGCCCAGCAGAGTTCCATAGCATTTTGAAAACCACCTGTGACCTATTTAATCTACCTTTTGTAATTAATTACTGTGTGAAGACAGGGACTCAGTCTAATGCCATTTCTATAATGCTGACATGCCATGTTTCTATTAACCATCAGGAGTTTGACCCTGAGGAGTTTTATCAGCGTCTTGAAGTTGCAGAAGACCATGCAAAAGTTGGCCAGGGCATCAAGACTGACATCCCCCGATACATCATCAGCCAACTGGGTCTCACTCGAGACCCCCTGGAGGGTATAATTATGATTTATCTAGCACCCACCCTTAAATTATAAATTTTTATCTATGTTGTAAAGGGTAATTAAATGTTAGCCTTAGGCAAACAAGTGATTGATTTTCCTCTTGTCTTTGGGTTCAGACATAGTGCAGCTTGAGCACAACAACTCAGGCAGCCCAAGCAGAGAACTGGATGACACTGCAGAGGTAAGAAAATAAATCAAGGCTTGACAAAATCTTAAAAGGGTTGTTTCTCCACACCGCTGGAGGTCTCACACTTCTCTTTCCAAGAGGTTCAAGCTCCAAATTTCTTTCCGAGCCAAGGTGCAAACTGTAAAATGTAAATAACTAATGTGCATTACTTTAATATTGGTGCAAATTCAACCCATACATATGTAGTAAACTTTAAAACATTTTTATTTAAAATTAACTTTTAATTTTCTCTCATTTTTACTTACTTTGCCATCAAAACAACTTTAGATTCTGACACTCTCACACTTTAAATTGAGATTGGATGGGTCACGTTAAAAGCAGTTGTAAAGTCTGATATAAGCTACCGTTCACAAGTTGGGTCACAAGAAAGAAAAGTCTCTAATGCTCATCAAGGCTGCATCTATTTGATCAAAAATACAGTAAAAACAGCAATATTTTTACAATTTAAAATAACTTTTCTATTTTACTGTATTTTAAAATATAATTTATTCTTGTGATGCAAAGCTGAATTTTCAGCATCAGTGTCACATGATGCTTCATAAACCCTTCTAATATGCTGATCTGCTGCTCAAGAAACGTTTCTTATATTGAAACAATTGTGCCGCTTAATATTTTGGTGGAAATTGTATTCAACAGACATCATTTGTAACATTATAAACGTCTTTACCTTTATTCAGCAAGGATGCATTAAAAAAAAAAAAAAAAATGAATTGCATTAAATGAATTGAAAAAAGTAACATTATAAACGTCTTTACCTTTATTCAGCAAGGATGCATTAAAAAAAAAAAAAAAATGAATTGCATTGAATGCATTGAAAAAAAAATTCTTGCTGACCCAAAACCTTTGAATGGTAAGTGTACATGTGTGTGTGTATATATATGTTAAGGTTGGCTTAACTGTTATTTGTGGAGAAAAAAAACAGTTAATGATCTAGACCACGGCCTTTTTAGCTTGTGACTTATGAATTTCAGTCAAATAGATGTTGTATTGTTCTGTTCTTAAGAGTTCATATTTTATGCCTTAGAATCGTCCTGGAACCACAACGCCTCGAAGAAAACCTCTGGAAAGAGATTTTGAGACTATAAAGCTCATCAGCAATGGGGCTTATGGGTGAGCTCACTTTTATTGCTTTTTACTTTAAAAAGGAATAGACTGTTTTATAATCACTTGAATTTAGGTCACCAGTTGACGAAAGGCTGGAATACACTAATAACTTTCGTCTAGAGTTTTGCCTCAGTTGCATTCTGGAGAGGTCGACGCTAGTTGAAGAAAGTCAGAGCAAGTCTGCAGATTTTGTACAGTCAGAAAATGACGTAGTTTATGATGAGCAAAGACACCCAATTTTTAGCTCCAGACTATGATCCCATCCAGTCAGAAGATATCAAACATGGTTGATATTTTGAGCTGATTTAAAAAAAACATTGTTTTCATTTGTCATGTGTCTCCTGTAGGGCTGCACGATATATCGTTTCAGCATTGATATCGCGATGTGCGCATCCGCGATGGTCACATCGCAGGATGTGCGATGTTTAGTATACTGATCATTATATTTATACTGATTGTTTTCTTTGCTCACACACAGACACGGTGTCTAGACCGGACGCGACAACTGTACAGAGATACCCATTTTAAATAAATTTAGTAGCAGAGCTACTGCAAGCGATTTTCAGTGCTGGAAATCCATTTATCCTTTGTTGAAACTTCCGCGTCGTCGTGGAGAGCGCTGGTCACGGTCGCTTAGCAACGGCAGACGCCACGAAAGCGCAAGCTCCCGAGCGCTTTGGAAAGAAGGAGAAAGCGGCTAGGGTGGCGTTTTCCACACGTCTTTAGGCGCGACATGTGAATGGTAGGGCTGGGAATCGATTCCAAAAAGAATCGATTCCGAGGCGTTGGGAATCGAGAGTCGATTCCAAAGGATGGAATCGATTCCATCAAGAGGAATCGACTCCTCATTCAGAGCCTTTTTCAGTTCAACAAAGCTTATCTATGGGTGCCTCTCAAACGGAAGGCTGCATCCTACGAAGGCTGCACACATTTAAATTCACGATAATAAACTGAAAGAAAACGAGTCTGTACTGAGATCATCTGAATTTTAGGATGCAGCCTTCCGTTTGAGAAGCACTATTCACCTCCCTCATGCTCGCTAAAAGCCATAATTACGAGAGTTGTAAGATAAAAGATTATTTTTATATTTTTATTACCATTCGCCTCCCTCATGCTCACTAAAAGTGATTAGAATTCTGATTAGTTTCCTAAATCGGATAGATAGTCTTAATGAACCAGTTAAAAAAAAAAACGATTCCGAGGTTATTTTACGGTGGAACTGGCTTGTCCACAGTTTTGAGCGCTGCACGACAGAATAGATCATGACGTGATCGAGGGTCTTGATCTTATTTCCATCTAAAATACTTTTTTTTTTTTTTTAATGGTTATTTTGTTTCAGTGTACAGCTTGTTAATTTTGTGCAAAGCATAGGCCTACTGTCAAAGTAAACTTCATCATTCAGCTGAACTGTGCACATTTATTAGACACTTCATGTCTTGTTCAATTCATGCGATAAACGCATGTCCCTGTTGAGCTGTGGGGTATGACTAATTTCACGGGCAAAGCAGACAAAATTACAATTTATGTATCGTAATTTATTTTTATTTTTATTTTATTTTATTTTTTTTACAAATAAAGCTTCATATTATGAGAAGGATACTTTCTACGACCTTTATCCTGCAGTCATGGTGAAATTATAGGTTCCTTCAATCTAAAAAAGCAAGAATCAAAAAAGAACCGAAAACAACAGTGAGGAATCGATTCCCATCGATACCAGGAATCTGAATCGGAATCCAAAAATTTCGGAATCGAACAGCCCTAGTGAACGGCCCCAAAATCTGTCTACACTGGACGCGACAAAGCGTCCATTGCATATCATTTGAACTTTGTGTCAGTACGTCATAAATAGAACGAGGCATCAGTTTACTGTCGGGGATTTGTCGCGCCGCGTTGCATCCAGTGTAGACACGGTGAGAGCCACGCAGATGCACGTGAACACTGAATTCTGTTCACTTCTGCGTCTATTTGTGCCTGAAAAACTGTGCTCTGCAAGTATCCTTGTAAGCACAGTTGCTTATGGCTTAGGCGAAGGGAAACAATTGAGAAAGAAAATGGATGTGTAACAGTATATTGGTTCACAGCAGTTTAATGTTCCTGTTGCTTTCTCTGTCATGAACGTTAATCAAACAACAAAACACACAAAAAAAAAAAAACTTTTGTTGCTTTAACACCGATTTGTTAGATTTAATTTATAGTGAAAACTATGCAGTGTTGTTTTACATTTGATTCTTCAATTTCTGTACCTGAATACTGGTAGACTTACCTGAAAAATATAAAGCACTGCTTATTTCATTTGTATCTTTGTTCTGTTATTTATCTATGCTTGTAATTTGTTTATTTCCAATGCTGATTTACTCGCCTACAAAATCACCCCAGTCATTGATTATATATATTTTTTTTCAAATAGAGCTATTGAAATCATCTGATTTTTTTTCCATATCGCAATATATATCGCAGAAAAAATATATATCGCAATGTGAGTTTTTTTTCCAATATCATGCAGCCCTAGTCTCCTGGCACATGTTTCTGTTTGTTGTGTTTGTAATGACTTAAAAGTCTGGTTGTGTGTCATTTAGTATATGATGCCCAGATTCTCTCTCTAACCATTTACAAAGTCAACAAATGTCTGATTTTAAAAATGTTGAGATTGGTGGATTCCAGCCTTGAGAATATAAATCGGCTTTGATCCTGATTTGAGCGTTGACTCGCAGGGCTGTGTACCTAGTAAGGCATCGCGGGACACGGCAGCGGTTTGCCATGAAGAAGATCAACCGGCAGAACTTGATCCTGAGGAACCAGATCCAGCAGGTGTTTGTGGAACGAGACATCTTGACGTTTGCAGAAAACCCTTTTGTGGTCAGCATGTTCTGCTCCTTTGAGACACGACGGCACCTTTGCATGGTCATGGAGTATGTGGAGGGTGAGTCAGAGGAGTGATGTGTTGTTACAAATATGTTTCTTGATCTAATCTTATGACACACACATGCGTCATTTCTCATGTGTACTGCCGTGAGTCTGCAGCTGTAATGTTTTAATATGAAATTGTCTTTGCAGGTGGAGACTGTGCAAATTTGCTGAAGAATATGGGTCCCAGAATAAGGGTCCCTTGCCGGTGGACATGGCCAGAATGTACTTTGCAGAGACGGTTCTGGCACTAGAGTATCTTCATAATTATGGCATTGTGCACAGGGATCTCAAACCTGACAAGTAAGAGCTACTCGATGTAATCCTGCAGTTACGCATGACTCCACATCCTGCAAATATTGCATTCATTGTGTTTGTTTCCTGTCTTCAGCTTGCTTATTACATCAATGGGGCACATTAAACTGACTGACTTCGGTTTGTCTAAAATCGGTTTAATGAATATGACCACAAACCTGTATGAAGAACACATGGAGAAAGACACACGAGAGTTCATTGATAAACAGGTCAGTCTACCTGTACATTCAGCACACCAAATACTGCACTAGTTTAAATTTTTCACATTAAAGGACTAGTTTTGTCTTAATTTATTCACATAATTTCTACCCCACTTTTTTTTTTCTTTTTTTTCCCCCATAAAACAAAAAGGCAATATTAGGCAACATGTCAGAGCAGCATACTATTTTATACTATTTTTTTTACTGGCAAGTTCCAGACAGGACAAAACAACAACATAAAATTACATGTAAGAGTTACGCGGAAGGGAATATTTTGAGCAAATAATGATTTAAATAAGGTATATTATTTTATTTTTCATTTTATTACAGCAATGTTCCAGAAAGGACAAAATGGCAACATTTTTTAGAAACCATATGAAAGCTTTGTGTGTGAAATGGACTTTGTGTAATATTTAATTAATAACTGTAATTATTATCTTTATTCACTAATATTGTAGCAATGTAATATTGAACAAATAATGAGTTAAATTAGTTATGTTTTTCCACACGGGCTATCCTATGGCTTCAGAAAAGTTCAAACTAATATGGTTCTTTTTTTTTAATTATTTTACTATTATGGTGCCAGTAAAAATTACCATTCACTTTTTTTGTATGGTAAAGGGATGCTCTGGCATTCTGACATCTTTTGTGTTTCACCGAAGAAAGAAAATACAGAGGTGGAGGAGCATGAGGGTTAGTAAATCATGACAACATTTTCCATTTTGGGTGAACTTTTCCTCTGTTGTTTTCTAGGTCTGTGGCACTCCAGAGTACATTGCACCAGAGGTGATCCTGAGGCAAGGTTATGGGAAACCTGTGGATTGGTGGGCCATGGGCATTATCCTGTATGAGTTCCTGGTGGGCTGTGTGCCTTTCTTTGGAGACACACCAGAAGAGCTCTTTGGCCAGGTGGTCAGTGGTAAGGATGAAGGGGTTGTAGCCCCTAACCCTGAGAATTCAGTCATGATTGAAAGGATTTCTGCCTACTGGATGATAAAATGAGTGGAAAAGGTTCCCATTGCCCTACATTGCAGAAGGGACCTGAGCTGTATCTAAGCATCAGAATATCATATACTTTGGAGTGGGCTCTTTTGACATGGCCTGCTTTCAGTGCTCTACCAACAATGTAAAATTCTACTTTATCCTATTAATGTTGTGTGCATGTGTCTGCATCCCTCTCACTCCGTAGATGAAATTGAGTGGCCAGGGGGTGATGATGCATTACCTCTTGAGTCTCAAGACCTCATCACAAAACTGCTGAGACAAAGTCCCAAAGAGCGCTTGGGAGCTGGTGGGTGTTTTGCCTGTTTAGTTTTATTTTAGTATTATGTATATGCTATTACAGTAATTATTAATATGTTGAATTTGCTTTTATTTTTTATGGTTTTAATTTTTCATTTTACTATCAGTTTAGGTTTTAGTTATATATATATAACAAATTATAATAATTTTATATTTAATCTTTTTTTTAAATTTCAGTTTTAGTAATTTTTGTACTTATAACAGTTTTGTTTCATAACAGTTTTTAATTAACAACAACAACAACAACACTGCTATTTAGGAACTTGTTATAGTCACCATAATGTAGCCAACATTGAATCATGTGTGGTATGACCTACAGGAGGGACAGCAGAGGTCAAACATCACATCTTCTTCCATCTTCTGGACTGGAGCGGACTGTTAAGGCAGAAAGCAGAGTTCATTCCACAGCTTGAAACTGAAGAAGACACAAGCTACTTTGATAGTAGGTGGCTCCCTTGCTCTTTTATGACTTTTTCTGATTCATAAATGTAATGTAGATGCAACTGAACCTTCTGTTCATCTGCTGTCCAGCACGTTCTGACCGTTACCAGCACTCTGAGGAGGACGATGAGACAAACGATGATGAATCTTATCAGGAGATCAAGTTCTCTTCCTGCTCGCATCGCTTCAGCAAGGTGAAATAGAAGAATGTGCACAATGTTATCTTATAGAGATGCCTGTCACTCAGACAGACTGAGGCATTTAACACAGTAAGGAGCAGGTCATGACTTGTTTTTGTCATGTGAATCAGGTGTATAGTAGCTCCGAGCAGCTGGCTTCTCCCTCTAACTTGAGCCTGTCCTCCTCTGAGCGGAGCTGCAGCGAGGAGAAGGAGGACCGGTGGGATGGTCATTCAATGCTTTCTCCAGTAGAAACCCCCAGACAGCTTCCATGTAGCGACAGGAAGCAGGATTCCCACAGGGGCAGGTAAGCACAAGGCTATGTACAGAAGAGCATACTAACTACACACTACATAAAATTTCTGCAGTATATTCCTGGATGAGCTTGCAAGGAATGATGTAATACTAACAATACAATGAACTCTACTTCAGGTTCATTAATCGCATTGGAATTATAAGATCAAATAATTACAGTTTTTAAATGTATTAGCTCTTGTGACGATCAGTGCTGCTATTGTTAACTAAAACATTTAAAAAAAAAAAAAATTGTTAATTGAAATAAAGTATATTTATATATGTATATATATGTATACATGTGATGCGATCTAGGAAAACCCAACACATGGCGAAATTTTCCTTTTTTAGGTTTTGATACCATATGAAAGCTGGGTTCAAGCCCTTTCCAAAACTTTGTCCATAGCTTGAACGTAACAAAAGTTATGGCTATCTGAAGTTGTCTGATAGCTATGATTTTCCGGAATGGAATTTGGAGAAAAACGGGTTTAAAGTGAGACTGGTTTCACTTTCACTTCTACTTAACGATCGCTGTCTGTCAGGAGCGTTATATTGCATCATTACACAAACAGACTAATGCTACGCTGAAGAGGACAGTTATCCGTTGTTTATCATGATGGGCATAGTCTCTGAACTTTTGATCACCCCTTGTATGTTTAGATCGCACGAATAGTGTACCTTGTTGTTTACATTTAGAAAAGCGAGCACAGCACACCTGTGCATATAACAGACTGTCATCGGACTCCTCCTCTTTAGTAACTTCATCATCCGATCCTTCATCTCTGGGTGTGAAATAGTCCATTATAACATCTTTTAGGGCACTGACACCAAGATTGAGCAGACTGAGACGAGCAAGATTGTCTAAGTGAGCAGCTTCAGACTGCGTTGTTTTCTTGCGCTCCGCCATCTCACGATATTAAAAAATAAATACATTTTAAAAACTTTGCGTGCCATAGTTTACACAGGACTGGCGGGAAATGTGCATTGATACACCTTTATTATATATGTTACATGGTTTATTTTGATAGGTTAACTGTTTTTGTGGTGTTAAGAGAAAGCACCTCCGCAGCGTGTTCTTAACATGAGAGAAAGACACAGTCATTTCTGCTTGCTGCAATAAATCGCTATTTTTCTGCACTAAACAAGTGAATTTTGCCAAGATATTTTCAGAGATGATAGACAAGATGTTATAGAATAATACTTGAATGAAACCCAAATTTTGACAAAAAATTGACATTCTACCTATTTTTCGAATTTCCTTGAACAAATTGCTCTTTCTTTAAATAAACTCAGTTATAATTAAAATTTTCTTAGGGATAAAAATCTACCTCTGCTTATGCTCTAAACTAATGTAGTGAATAGGGATGGGTACCGAAACCCGGTATTTAATCGGTCCCGGGGCTAAATTATGAAAGACCGGAGTATCGATCATAGCCTGTGAGCTCATAGCCTGACTCCCGTTGTTCTCTTGCGCTCCGTCATCTCACAAAAACGTTGAATTAAAAAAAACTTTGCGTGCCGTAGTTTACACAGGACTCGCAGGAAATGTGCATTGATACACCTTCTTTCTACATGTTATGTGGTTTATTTTGATAGGTGAACTGTCTTTGTAGTGTTAAGGGAAAGCACCTCCGCAGCGCGTGTTCTTAAACATTAGAGAAAGACAGTCTTTTCAGCATGCCACAATAAATCGCAAATTTTCTGCACTAAACAAGTGAATTTTGCCAAGATATTTTCAGAGATGATAGACAAGATGTTATAGAATAATACTTGAATGAAACCCAAATTTTGACAAAAAATTGACATTCTACCTATTTTTCGAATTTCCTGAAAACGTCCCAGCGTGACATCCGACGGGTTTTCCCAGATCGCATGACATTTAGGCTTCAAAAACATAAAAGTCGAGTTCATGATAAACATATCATTACTAGTTACTCATTTCAAAAGTAATATTGTTACTTTACGTACGGTACGTACGTATGTATGTATGTAACGGTACACAAACATGACGGTTCGGTACGTACCTTGGTTTTGATGTTACGGTTCGGTATAGTTTCGGTACAGCAGGGGGAAAAACTAATTTTTTTATTTTATTAAACATGGGTTTACTGAACAAATTGCTCTTTCTTTAAATAAACTCAGTTATAATTAAAATTTTCTTAGGGATAAAAATCTACCTCTGCTTATGCTCTAAACTAATGTAGTGAATAGGGATGGGTACCGAAACCCGGTATTTAATCGGTCCCGGGGCTAAATTATGAAAGACCGGAGTATCGATAAGCTC